CTTTCCCTATAATTTCAAATATGTTAAACTTGAAAATCTATTGGGAGTCAGCTACGCCCATGCAACGATGACGACATGCCTGTCGAAGGTTGCAGGACATTACCGACCTTTGGACTTCGAGGGGTCGGTTTTGAGGGCTTAAAAGGGCCTGCCTCTCTCAGAGTTCCACAGTCTTCAGTTAGAAACCAAAACGGCTATTTATACATTGTGACCCATAGCGGCATCCAAATTTAAAAAAGAACAAAAAGGACTTATACGTTTTAATTATATATCGTATAATAAACCTCTTACAAATAAGATTGATATACAACTGAATACAGTTATTTCCCTGTGCGTTTGGCTATTTCCTCCACGAAATTCACAACAAAATCTCTATTTAATTTTCACCGTAGCGCAAACTTCAAATAAATCTGACGATGTCTTTACTATGAAGGACTAAAGAAATTGTCGAAGACTGCTTCAAGTTAATCTATGTTTCAAACAATTTTAACATCGTTAATCCTCTGTTCAATCTTCGTTTAACAACATCGATAACACAGTTTTCGTTAGCATTGGAACCAGCATATTACAAGTATATCTTTATAACCTGCTTACACGTTAAATTTAAAGACACCTGGTGAAATGAAATTGTCGATAAATTTTCCTTCGACATGAGCTGCTCTTTGTTGTGCAACTTTAGCGAAATGCCAATTTACAGTTAACTGAGTCAAATATATTTATAATTTGCTAAATATGTAAATACGCTGTTAGAGAAACGTATAAAAATGTAAACGAAGAATTTTGATAGAGAATACATAATGCACGTAAATCAATTTTAAGCACGCATGTCAAACGGGACATCGTTAAATATTCTATCGAAGCTTATCGGTACATTAAATCCATTAACACCATTTATTCTTCATTTCATATACATTCAAGCAAAAATTTCTCCAAGCTTAAGTAGAAATATGAGATTCGTAATTCCTTTGAAAGCATAGCTCGCGAATTGAATCACAAGACGAAAATGAAAATCCGAATTGGATATTATCGAAATATTTATTAAAATCGAAATAAGATTTTTGTGTAATTATTTAAATAAAATTTGGATTTTAATTGTTATTAGTTATATCGCTTTATTTAAAATAACGTCATTTGATAAAAATATGTTTGACGAATAAATTATTTCCAAACGAATTATTTTTCCAATAATTTTATTTTAAATAATAATGCAAAATAACGAATAGATGTTTCGCAATATACATATATTATCAATCGTGTTTACTTCTGCTGTAAACTTTATATTTTCGAGAGAAGGATTATTGGATATTATTAAAAAATTAAAATTACTTTAAAGAATTAAAATGATTAAAAATTAAAAATTGTTAAGAAATTATTAAAAAATTCAGAATTTTAATTCTGAATCTGACAAAAGAGATAAATATATAATATCCGAAAATATTATATTTGAGGCAGAATTAAAAATTTTGCTGCACCCTAATGATAAACAAGAATATTTAAATAATCAAAAAACATTTATTGATATAAAAAGTATATATGCTGCTTTATATCGTTATAATATTCTCACCCGTTATTAAATGATTCTTTTCAATCGTTATCATCATTAATCTATAAGATAATTATCAAATAAAATGATTACATCGTCTTAAATTATTTATAATTTAATTAAGAATCAATAATTTGCAATATGCTCGTATAATTTATTAACTATTTATTAATTATATAATTTAATAATTAATGCTTATATAATTACAATATGCTTATTATACAAAAAATCGGTTGTTTGTTGTAAAGTAGTATTACTTAAAATATAGAACTTACTTGGAAATAATTTATTTGTCAAATAATATTCTGGAATATAGTTGATGATCTCCATTTCCTTATAACTTTTTATTTCATTTCAAGTAAAAATAACATCTATGCAACACCTGTAGTTAAAGAATTCGAAAAATCATACGATATTTTTCATCCAGCGATATGTTATCTCATATCCTTCATATGAAATTTTAAAATACTGAAATTTTTAATTTATTTTTTATTCGCGTAGTATTAATTTTCTGCACTCGAAAGTTTTTTTGCTGTGAAAAAGTAGCAATTCAAACACTTTTCTAGCAAAAAGTGGATGACTTTGCACATAAATTAATATTATTACTATAAAAAACTTAATACCGAATATTAAATTATATAATTTCATTTCGTATAATAATTAAATTATAACAATAATTTGATTATTTATTAACGATTTTGGTAAATGTAACATTTTTTACTTACTAAAAAAAATATGTAGTATACTTTACTTAACCCCAAACTACTGACATTCAGTTTCTAAGCACTCATGACGGTATTATTGTATATATTAAAGTATATTAATTTAAAATTAATTGTAATTAGACGAACAATTAAAATATACTGCTATCGCACGTCTAAAGAATTAATATTTTTCAATAAAAATGTATTAATTACATCAGGAAATATGTGCCGATCATTATGAAAGTGATCTAAGTTTCACATATTCTGCGTCAAAGTACCAAAAATTTTATACCTGAAATATATTATAAATAAAGAAATTAATTACTCTAAAAATAGAAACTCGATCTAACGATTCAATTTTTCGCTATTTTGTTAAAAACAGTTCTATTTTATTGTCATATAAACGAACACAACGAAAAATATATGACAAAATCATTTCGTTCAAATTTTTTATTTGAACCAACCTATATAATCAGACTCCACGTCAGTATCCGAGTCTGAATCTTCAAAACCAAATTCTCTCTTTGACACTAACCTTCTGTCTCGCACAATTGTTCAAAACCTGGCTACCGTGTTACGCAAAGAACACCTATCCCTTCCTCCTTATTCTCCAATACCTTTGTTCCAAATAAAACCTACCTAACTCCCATAAAAACGTACAACCACCTCAAACAAACTTACCTTATCGAAAATCAAAATATCTTCGAAAGTTCAGCCACGAAGCTGAACATAAAGACATAAAGTCCCGTCTGAAACGAGCTAACAAACCTCTGGGTCTCGTTTAGTCTGCCTCTGAGCACGAACGCTCTGAAAAAACTTCGAATGCGATTGAGACACTTAGGCCAGTCTGGGCCACGAGCCCTGATGTAGGTTATTATAGTTGAAATCACCGTAAACTCTAAACAGCAGGAGGTGACGGTGCTTCGGCCAGTGGCGTGTCGTAAAAACGACGAGTAGTTTGCATAATAATCTCTAGTTTGGTGAGCATTATGCCAACTGATATCCCGAGTTAGCTTGTAACGGGATCGCTTCCGGCATAAACTCCGCGATTTGGTATCGTGCAATTGCTAGTAATCGGTCGAGAGACGAATGCTTATTATTCCGGCAGTTGCGATCAAAATCTAGGGGATTTACCCGTGTCGTTATTACCCTCGTGACGAACTTACCGGACCCTTCCAGAGACGACGGATGAAAAAGAACGGCATCGGGGCGAGGGTCGACAGGCCGATCAGTATTCCGATCGCATTCGCCCAGCTCGGGAATATGTACTCGCCATAATAAGGCATCTCGTACGTACATATTTGATACACGAACACCACCTGTGAACGAAAATCAAAGAGATAGAGAGGGCAGCTGAAACAAAGAGCTCTTATTTCGTATGCAAACTCCTCGAGAGAGCAGTGAGCATGATGGTACATTGGCCAATTACGAATTTGATATTTTTAATAAGGTGCGATTTTGATGTATTATCTTCGAGGTATACTTATAACTCGAGTTCGGAGATTTTGGGATTAGCCTCTTAGGCACGATGCGACACTAGAGTGGCTTTCGCAGATGTCAGGCTTTCGAATGACGCGCCACTGTAGTGGCGCACTCTAGTGGCTCACCCGCTCACCGTTTGAATTAAATGATCGTTTCTGTAGCGTTCTATGTATCGAATTTCTTCGATTTCCAAGAACGCTTGTCACGCAATAAATTAATATTGCGTGATTAGGTTTGCAATATTAAGGATCCCGAGTGTGATGTTAAAATAGAGTGTTTATTTACAGTGAAAGTATACAATAGTTATAGAAGAGACGTTTATCGGAGTACCGTTTCGAACACGCGTTTGTAAGTATATGTACGATGTTTCGGTGATCGGTGTCGAAGACGAACTGACTTCTCAATTTTGGTCTGTCTTGTGTGTCGTCGTGGCCTGTCCGGTGTTTTCTCCAGTTTAGTTCTGATTGGTTAGGATAAATATTAGCGGAGGAAAAGTAAAGATTTTTGATCGGACAGAGGGTGTGACGGAAGAACCTTTGGCTAAGGAGTAGGGAACTGTCGAGGAGCCGATTTTCGATGGTCAATGACGTGATTCACAAGTGGTGTCCGTCCGTCGACTTGGTGGGTCTGTCGCACGTGGGTCCAATCTGTCGGGCCTGGTACTTGTAAATTTTCTGAATTTTCACGTTTAGATGTATGACTTAATCCGCTAGGAGGACAGCGAGGCACATCTAACCCTCGGCGTAACAATCGTAATACAAAATAATAAAGTCTTTAGAATTATTGAAAATTAAAGTAAGAGTTATGCTATGAACACGCTTTCAGGGACGGAACAATTTTCATATGTTTTGTTTCACGCCCTCTTTGCCTTCACAACGTTTTAAAACAATGTTAAGAATATAGAGTCTTTGTTTTTGATACGTCAGTGTTAGGTATAAATTGTTGCTTTTCATTTAAATAAATATACCATTTGCTCTTAATCATGAAAAACTTCCAATGTATAGAGAATAGCATTGTCCATCACACATTGCAGTGTTATATCACTTATGCATAATTTGCGTTGAACTCTGTCATACAGAGAAACAGCTCCGAGCAAAATTCAGCCGTGTCTAAGAGATTAAGGAAAAATTAAGACTCGATGTTGACACGTGGCTTAGGTGGATGTTAAATTGACGGTTAAATTGTCTGCGAAACATTGCGATTAGACATTCAGAGGTAAATGTCTTCCTTCGTTTGTTATTAGGTTAGGTTTCGTGACAAGAAAATCTTCTTTACCATCAGCGGGTACATACGTACACTATTAGTGGGAAATTTGAATATATGCACTAATAAAAACGATATTTTGAAGTTTTTACTGTTGTTCATAATGATAGATGTTATGGTTGTTAAATTAGAAAGGGAGCCGGGTAAAAATTAAAGCGTGGGTAAAATAAAACTCGCCGTATTGCAACAGAGGTTAAAGGTTTCATTCTATAAATGCTTAAGGGAGCACGTTCGACAAGATACGTCTCTTCTCGGCGACTAAACCCATGACTTTTGGGTTTTCTTCCACAATGGGAAAAACTCAATCACTACATCTAGATTCTTTCAGGTCGTTTCATAGATTCCTTTCGTCTAGTCCAACAATAGTACTGATTAAAACTGACAGTGTTAAAAATGGGGTTTTGGATTTTTATTTTGATTATGATCTTGTAAATGCTAACAATACATGCTTGTAAACTTAGAAGATGATGAAATATGCACATTCAACAAGACAATTGGCAATAATATAGTACATATAACAAGAAGGAAATCCAAGATTGTATTACAAGTGAAGAATTCAATAGCATATACAATGTTGTACAATTTATTTATTAAAAATATACACAATCAATAGGTCACAAAGGTAATAGAAGATATTAATAATTAACTGAAAGTTTCCCTATGTACAAAGTAAAAAATTTCGATATGATGTGTAGTTGCTATGCTTTCGTTATTCGTTATTCAGATTTTCCATTAGATATACTAGCACCATAATTTATGTTTATAATACACAAATGTACTGTAATATCGTACATATAGTTGAATTATATTCTAATTTGGCTAATATAATCCTGGCGTTTTCTCTATGCTATATATGTCATGTCATTTTACACACCCTGATTCAATATTCATATTTCATTTGTTAAACATAGCAAATATAAACTTTATAAAATAATTATACCCGTATTATACGTATGAATGCGATTCCATTTGATTAAAAATCTAAATTGATTACGTCACATGTAAGTAAAAATAAAATATTTGCTATTAACCATCTTTATTTCTTTCTGATAATTCTAATGTTCATAATACGTGCACTTATTGGCAAAGGTTAAGAAACAATTATTTGCCAAATTTTTTGTATTATCTATTTTCCAATATATATATACTATAATAAAAAATAAATTTTATACGAAATATTAGAAGAAAACTTAGCGTTTAATATGCATAAGATGTGAAATACCTCTTCGTCATATCTTTAATTTTAATACATGTACTAAAATAAAAAATAAATTTTATACGAAATATTAAAAGAAAACTTAGCATCTTTAATAATGCATAAGATGTGAAATACCTCTTCATCGTAGAAACAGCTCCGAGCAAAATTCAGCCGTGTCTAAGAGATTAAGGAAAAATTAAGACTCGATGTTGACACGTGGCTTAGGTGGATGTTAAATTGACGGTTAAATTGTCTGCGAAACATTGCGATTAGACATTCAGAGGTAAATGTCTTCCTTCGTTTGTTATTAGGTTAGGTTTCGTGACAAGAAAATCTTCTTTACCATCAGCGGGTACATACGTACACTATTAGTGGGAAATTTGAATATATGCACTAATAAAAACGATATTTTGAAGTTTTTACTGTTGTTCATAATGATAGATGTTATGGTTGTTAAATTAGAAAGGGAGCCGGGTAAAAATTAAAGCGTGGGTAAAATAAAACTCGCCGTATTGCAACAGAGGTTAAAGGTTTCATTCTATAAATGCTTAAGGGAGCACGTTCGACAAGATACGTCTCTTCTCGGCGACTAAACCCATGACTTTTGGGTTTTCTTCCACAATGGGAAAAACTCAATCACTACATCTAGATTCTTTCAGGTCGTTTCATAGATTCCTTTCGTCTAGTCCAACAATAGTACTGATTAAAACTGACAGTGTTAAAAATGGGGTTTTGGATTTTTATTTTGATTATGATCTTGTAAATGCTAACAATACATGCTTGTAAACTTAGAAGATGATGAAATATGCACATTCAACAAGACAATTGGCAATAATATAGTACATATAACAAGAAGGAAATCCAAGATTGTATTACAAGTGAAGAATTCAATAGCATATACAATGTTGTACAATTTATTTATTAAAAATATACACAATCAATAGGTCACAAAGGTAATAGAAGATATTAATAATTAACTGAAAGTTTCCCTATGTACAAAGTAAAAAATTTCGATATGATGTGTAGTTGCTATGCTTTCGTTATTCGTTATTCAGATTTTCCATTAGATATACTAGCACCATAATTTATGTTTATAATACACAAATGTACTGTAATATCGTACATATAGTTGAATTATATTCTAATTTGGCTAATATAATCCTGGCGTTTTCTCTATGCTATATATGTCATGTCATTTTACACACCCTGATTCAATATTCATATTTCATTTGTTAAACATAGCAAATATAAACTTTATAAAATAATTATACCCGTATTATACGTATGAATGCGATTCCATTTGATTAAAAATCTAAATTGATTACGTCACATGTAAGTAAAAATAAAATATTTGCTATTAACCATCTTTATTTCTTTCTGATAATTCTAATGTTCATAATACGTGCACTTATTGGCAAAGGTTAAGAAACAATTATTTGCCAAATTTTTTGTATTATCTATTTTCCAATATATATATACTATAATAAAAAATAAATTTTATACGAAATATTAGAAGAAAACTTAGTGTTTAATATGCATAAGATGTGAAATACCTCTTCGTCATATCTTTAATTTTAATACGTGTATCTCAGAAAATAAAAGATATACAAAAATTCACAAATCATTATTTTCTTTCTTAACTTCTGTCAATATACCTAATTCAAACCTAGCCAAAGATTTTGTCACGTGTAACGATTCAAATCTTTCAGGAATCATAACGTCATAAATTCAAGACAGCGATAATTTTGCATTTTCTGCTCACGAAAATACACCCAATCCTGTTTTTACACGAACTTCTTTTACACGATTTTGATTTAACACGAATTAGGAAAAAAATTGAATTCTCTTTTTACACGACTTATTTTGATTTAACACGATCGACCCAAATTCTAAGAAGAAAATTTTGCTTTACTTTTATTTTTATAACTGCGACATTGGAGACGAGGAATTAATTTTGCGTAAAAATCAATAAATGGTAAGTTACAGTTTTAAAATCTTTGTTTCATTAACCCCTTAGCCTACAATATGTATTAATTTTGCGTAAAAATCAATAAATGGTAAGTTACAGTTTTAAAATCTTTGTTTCATTAACCCCATAGCCTACAATATGTAACGATATAATTAAAATATAAGTGACAACGAATAAAATCTTTTTATGTATAACTCATATTATCTTGCCTAATTTTTGTGTTCGTGAATTAGTGACATGCTTTTTTCCTTTTCAAATGATAACTTACTTTGTATGATACATGTGCAATCTTTATGAAATAAAAAGGTTTAAGATCCTAACATGAAAACTCATGGTTTATTGTATTATTTTTGCTGATTTCTTGGGACTGAAACCAATCTTCTATTTTTCCATAGATGCAATATATT